GGCCGGGCGTCGGGGCGTTTGCGAACCGAGACCCCGCGGGCTTTCCCGAGCCTGAAGCTACGACGTGCTTCTGTAATCTGTGTGTACGAGTGCGTGTGTTCATATGTATATATATATATGTTTCTGTTCGTTTATTTATCTGTTTATTTATTTAAAAAGGCTTTAGACTGCGGAGTTTGTTTGGATGACTCGGGAATTGTTACCTGCGGCAAGGTACGGCGTCGCGTTTCTGAATTTGTGAGTGAGCGACTCCTCCTGATGGTGCTCGATCCATGTGCCCAAAGCAAAACAAACAGCTCTGGAAAACAGGTAACTTGCGAAGAAAGCGTTAACGTTGTTTTTAAACCCCACCCCATCATTTCTTTTTTTTTTTAAACTCTGGTTGCTGAGCATTTGGATGATTGCTAAAATTTAAGCTAAAGCGTTTGTGAAAAACGCAGAGTAGCTTTTCCTTTTCAGAGGAAATCTCTCTTTATGCCCTCTGAGTGAGGGGAGGGAGGGCTTCCCCCCTCCCTCCCCGCAGCCTTACAGTAGCCTGCCCCTTCCCGGTCTTGCCTAGTCCCCTTTCCCTGTGTGCTCTTCCGTAGTCCTGTCTTGGCCCCCACGCTGTTCGTTTTTCTCCCTGCACCTTAGCGCCCTCTCTCCTCCCTGCTCAGGGTGCCGGTGAGCAGTGCCTGCTGAAAACAGCTGGAGCAGTAGTGCAGGTCCTTACCCTGAGCTGACTGCCCGTCTTTTTGCCGGAGGTGTCCGCCCTGGCGACCAGGCTGGCAAAAGCTGTCCTCCAAACAGTATCCCTTCCCTCACCTGTGCCTTTCCCATCCCAACCTATTTGTTTGGTCTGTGTTTAACTTCTGGGTGGTGACGGTGAGTGTAGGCACACCATGAGCTTGCTACTTTGGCTGCGTACGGGTGGACAGACGAGCCAGTTAGAGGAATCGGACAGCAGTGGCAAAACTGCCTCAAACTGCTTCAGCAAGGCTAGTCAGAGTTTGGTTGATGCCTAAGGCACTTTTCTTTCTGGTTGTGTTTCCCTACCTACTGCTCAATTTTGGCTCACTGTTCCCTCTGTTCCCATCTGTTATTCTCCTTTGAGCTCCTTAGAGATAGTATATAGGGAGATGCAGGTTTGTGTAACTGCTGTGGAAAGGAATAGCTGTTTCGATTTTTTCCGCTGCGGTAATCAGGTAATTGCCTCAAGTGCTGCTTGTTTTTCATGTCTGTTTCTGATTTTCTATTCAGATGCCTAATCAGACAGTCAAAGATAAGTTTTCAGCGCAGGAGTAAATGCTTAGAAAAAAGCTGGGGGAATGGCAGTTCTCTAGCGATTGATGACGGTCTGGCTCCGTTCTTGCCTAAAGTAGTGGGATGTTCTGGGCATGCTGGTCATGAGCAAAAAAATGTTCAAAGTCAAGCTTTTACAAGAGAACTTGTCTTTCACAAAAACATCCCGTAATGCGAGGAGTTGGGTGAAATAGTTTACTACTCTCTCTCTTCTCTTTTTTTATTTTTTATTTTTTTACTATTTCCCTATGTAGAGTTTGTGGTAGAAAATATTGTAAGGTGAAGCACAGGTGATATTCCTGCAGCTTGGCCAACAACTTAAATCAGATTTCCAGTCTTTGAACCAACAGTACAAGCTGTTACTGGCAAAATTTTAGTGCAAATAAATGAAGGATGCCTTCTGCATGATGGGCCTTGGGGTAGGAGTGGATTGCAACTGTACTGTTGGTATTGCTGTTTCCTCAGCCTCTAGTTACTCGTTTAAAGCCTAGTATAGTGTAGAGACGTGAGAGAATTCAGATGTGTGCTTGTGAGTGGTATATTGCGGTACGATTTACCCAAAGTTTGTATTTGAGGTGCTGCAATAAATTGTTTGCCTCTTCAGCAGCACTAGAGGGAAGAATCAGCTCTAAAGATGGGAAAACACAGATTAGTTACCCTACCAGTTCTGGTTTGGGAAAATCCCAAACCAATTTTGCCTTTCAATAAACGGCTTTGTTTCAGTGGCTATTTGAAATCTTAATTGATTAGAGCAAAATTTCTGCATCATATTGTACACTAACTATAAAAGTTCAGAAGAAGTTTGACGTACATGCTTAGAAGCTCTTGAGGAAAAAAATGTATTTTGCTTTTTTTTCCTTGAGCATCGAGGAAGTGTAATGCATAACTGACTCTTCAAATTGGAAAGTTCAAGCGTTAATTAGCATCAAGAGAGACTGTGGCTTTACAGCGAGAGCTTAAACCATAGATTTTTCCACCTTGAACACGCTCAAGCCATGGCTGTGAGATGTCCAAGCGCGAATGAAAATCTAAACAGATCACTTATGTGTACGTATGCCATTTTTGTAAACCTGTGTTAGTTTATTTTCCGCTGGCTTCAGAATAACTAGGAACAACAAAACTGTTTCTGTGGTCAGAATCTTATTGAGAAGTCAAGAGGTGCTCTTGGAGATGTGCTATGACCTCTCTTTCAAACCAGGTGGACATCATGTCAGGATTAGTCTTGTAATGAGAGGGAAAAACATGTACTCAGTTTTGACTCTGCCTGTCAGTCTCGAGCTTTGGGTCTCTTGTTTGTTTGTTTATTTATTTTTAAATGATGCAAAGCCAAAGCAGAGCTATGAAATGAGGCTTGAATGCAGTCATCCGTTTTCTTGAATGTGCAACTCTACAAACAGCTGCACTGCGTATAAACATCGGGAAGAGCAAATTGCAGAGAGCTGCCATGCAGATTTGCTAAGGGTGGCTTGTGTAGCACCACCTCCTCTGCTGTGTGACCTGGAGCGTGTTCAGGCTCAGGTCACTAACACGAAGGGAGCCCTGGTCATTTCAGCTATTTTCAGAGCTGAGTGTCCGGAAGCAATCACACAAGCATAGTGGCTTCTTTAAGGCTTGTCCGTGTTTTAAATAGTCCGTTTAGATGTGGTTATTTGAAGCACTCCCTGGGAATTCTTTTCTTGGATTCAGTTGTTCTGTTGGCTACTCTCAACATTAAGTTTTCAGTGTTTCTTTATGATTTGCAGACCAGCTGATTTGGGTAAATCTATATTCTGATAACCCTGTACATGTATTGACAGAAATTCTCTTCACAAACAGATTTCTTTCTATTAAATTTTATGTCATCTTTTCGTTACAAAAGTTACAATGTTCATTTCACCCCTACTACGGAGATTGCTTTTTTTAATAGCTTCTTCTGTCGTAACACGTATCCAGGGTATTTGAAAATAAACTCTTAAGGCTAGCTCATCTTACGACGGAACCGTTACAGTTCCATTAGTGACCAGCCTGAGGTGGGGTGGTCGGTAAGGGTGTAGAAGGGGGAAAGCTCTTCTTTCTTCCTAGTCAGAATAGGACATTGGATTGACAGGCTTAAAGGTTAGCAAGGAATCCAAAACATCTCTGTTTCATCACTGAGCTATCTGATAAAAGAAACATTAAATAAAAGAAAAATGAAGGCCGCCTTGCCAAGCCGCTGTGCCAGTTTTCAATTCTGAAATTTGAGGGAAATAACGTATCTGCTTTTGGGCTGCATTCTTTCTGCTCTTTCACTTGAGACTTTCTATAATAAATCAACCAGAGACACACAGCTGTGATTTTCTGAAAGATTTTTTAGAGGGAAGGGCAAACCTTTTTATTAGAAAGTGTTGAATATGGTTATGTAACGTGATCTTGAATGAACTGGGGTGATGACGCTGCCTTGCATGCACATGTGGGAGGAAGGTGACTTTTAGTGGGGAGAAGAAGATGGGCTCAGATGTACCCAGAGCTGCCTTCTGACTACAGCCTTGCTGTGTCTCCTAGCATACAGGCCTCCAGAAGCATTTTAGCACAGTAAAATGCTGTGGTGTGTCTGGGAATGATTGTTAAAAGGATAATCTTCCCATTTAAAAAGAAGCTGTTGTTCAGATGTAGTTTTATGTATTTGTCTGCAGAAAAATGTATTTTTCAAAGAAGACATTTCATGTCGTTTTCTGCTACGACTATAATAACTGTCATGCTCGAACAACTTGATTGTCCAGAGCCACAGGACACTTCTGTAGATATGTATTTGGGTGGAAGTGTAAATGCTTGCAGTATGTCAGTTTGCCATCCAAAATGAAATATTTTCCGAGCTCAGCTGAAGCTCAACTTTATACAGCAGAGCCTGAGGATGGATAGATTGTGTAATCCTGTCCTAGCTGCAGGAAATAAATAGAATTATTGCTAATATTTCTTAATTATTTATAGATAATGCTGTCTTAAGACAGTATGTCTGGTTGTAATTTTTAAGGTCTTTAGTACTGGAGTTATACCAAGCTAAGTACTGGAGTTATACCAAGCTATGTTCTTCAGTGTGTTCTGGGAGCAAGCCCCAGCAGCTTTATCCGAAGTGGGAACTGAACTTCCCATGGGGGCTTTCTCTTTATTGTCAGTGCAAGATTGAAACTTTTTGAGAGCATAAGGAATGCATTGCTCGTGTGAAGTCACAGGAGGTATAATTCAGCATTTTTCTCTGCCGATGCCATGTCTGCTCTGATTGTGGCTTTTCAAATCTATATAGCTGTCTGTGGGAAGTGAACTCATAGTACAACATGATGCAGTTTCTGCGTAACTGCTGGATAGTCCCTATGAGTTGAACTGCTAAGCAGGTGCTAGTGTTCACGTATATCATTATTAGCTCTTACTTGGGAAGCTAAGTAGTTTTTGACTTTTTATTTGTTGCGTTTTACTTTGGAGTCATTGCTTTTAAAGTACAAACAGTAGCTGTACAAGCAGTAGGTGATTAGCCTGAGAATTGTACATAATGGTATATATACCTCCCTTTACACAGCAACAAAACTGCACAGAACAGTAAGTGTTAGCACACAGAAAATAAGCCATTTTCATGAGGATTTATACACATAGTGCATGAGCTGTTTATTGGAGTCTAGTTTACGTCGGACAGTTGCAGGGGTAATAAATGTACGCTATGTGACCTATACATATTAGTGTCAGGCACAGATGTCTGTAACTTCATCATTTCTCGTCTTTAGTTCCCAGGGTAAGCAGTGACTAAAACAGCATTTTTCTCTACAATTTTTCTGAAGACCTTCTGTGATGAATCCAATGTCTGTCTTGCTGTTTCAGTGCGATAGCTCATGCAGATGATGCAGAGCTGTTAGCACTGATACTCTCTTCTCTTTCCAAGAAAGTCCCAGGTTTTGTGCATTCAAGTTAGCAAGCATAATTGATTTTTAAATGTATAGTAAGTTTCCAGTTATCTTGCTGTGTTTCATGATTAAATTTCACTTGTTTTGTATTGCTTGCTTGCTTCTTTCTCATTGCAGGAGGGAAGATTGTGTGTTCTCCTGAGAAGACCACAAATTTGCTCTCAAATCCTGTACATCTAGGATGTTGAGAATTAGCAAGAAGCAAGGACTACCTGGCTGAGTATTTCTTGCACATTCCTTTCTCATCAGTGTTTGAGAGTGGCACAGCTTGTTTGAAGCCATAGCCCTGTAGTAATATGGTTGTAGAAAGACGGGGGGACTGTGTTACCTTTCAGCTCACGCAGTACGGATTTAATAGGACTGTGCTTGCTATCCTCCTTGACTTCTTTCCTTCTAACCTCACTTCTTAGTCCTTGGGATGGAATAAAAAGGAATGCAGTGGTGGTGGTGGCGGCTGGTCCCCTGCCCTGCCACCATACGGGGTATTGTTGCTAGTGTGGGTACTCAGAGGATATAGGAACAGCCTGAGTTGTTAACTCCTGATTGCCAGTGGCTCCTGGGGCGTTTGTATTGCCTGGCCTATAGCCTGATGCATCAAGCTGCACTGCTAAGCTTTCTCAGTTCAGGACTTTTTACTCTTTGAGATGTTGCTTCCTGATGTTTCTTCCTGGCTTTGGGGACCTTCCTGGTTTGCAGGGTGCCAGCAGTTTGTTTGTTCTGTGAAGTCTGTTAAGTGCTCAGACTCTATGGCAATAAGCAGAATGGAAGTACGTGGAAAACAAATGTACTTTTTGATTTAAAAATTTAACATGTTGCTTGTGTCTACCATATTGTAGTTTCAGTTGCTGCAGAAACAAACGTGTGGGTTTATTCCTGCACACGCAGATTGGGTCTGAAGGTGGTCATCGCTGGTTACATACAAGGCTGGTTCCGGATGGATGCAAAATGAGATTTGCTTGTGTGGCACTGTGAATCGTGAAGTTGTGCAGCAGCTATGGTGCATATCTGGTTTTGCCCTTAGAGTGACCCAGTGTCAGTTTGGAAGGTAAGTGGTTGTGAGCATTGTGCCAGCATGCTGATGATATCCAGAGTGGTGCAAGCCGTCCAACTGCAGTTTGGTCCGGTGCTGCAGGTCAGAGATATGGCTTTTGTGCAAACATAGTCAGGCAGAGTCAAACTAGCTTGCTCAGGTACCACTAGCAGGCAAGTCATGGCCTTGAAAACTTTCACACAGCTTATAATGAAATTCTTAATGGGCTTAGACCTGAGCCCTACACTGTCACACAAGGGCTGTTGCCAGTAATGGATAGTAACCAACTAGTTTAGAAGTAGCTTAGCTGTCCCTCCAGGAGGTGCAGTCGTGACTCCATTGGGAGTATCTCGGTATCTGTTGACGTCCTTTAGTCTGTAGAGAGACCAACCCGGCGCTCCAGAAGAAGGCCATGAGCACCTGCTCCTTTTAGTTAACAGGAGGCTAACCTGTCTGAAATCTCCTGGTTTGCAGCACTGAGCTCAGCCCTGCTTTGGGGTTTCTTGAATGATCAAAGTGAAGCTTTTCATTGCTTGCTTGCTCGCTCTTGAAAGAAATGAGCCAGGGTGAGGAAAGGCTGTCTGCATCTATACGCATCAAAGTCAGTGGTGGGGGGGGCTTTCGTGTTTGCTTTAAACAAATAATGCGCAGCTCCTCCAAAAAACACCCAACAAAGCCAATTAGAGCAGCTTCCTATCGTGCCTCAGAGCTGTGGGATGAATCACTGCTGTTCAGTCACAGCAGAAGGAGCGCTTGACTGTGTCCCCCGGGGGAATTCCTGCCCAGCAGCTCTTAGCTAACACCTGGAGTCCCTCCCTGACCTGCTGCAGTCTGGTGGATGCACATGGACAGACTGCTGGCCAGCCAGGGTGCCACCTCACCCTGCTTTATTTTTCCTGGGGAGATGCAAGGTCTCTGTTTTTGCCGCTTCTACTCTGCTGCTTGTTGTTCACTGTATTAGGCTGGCTTTTAAAGTAGTATAAAAGGCTTGCTTTAGCATGTTTCGAGGTGAGATTTTTAGAGGCATTCCGGACAGACAAGGCTTACAAATGAGCTGAGAACTAGGATAGGAGCATGCTTATGCTTAGCTCTACTGGATCATTTAGAGGCATATTTTATATGTCCCACAAATCGTGAGGTGCAGGTTAGCCTGGGAGCTGGTGATCCAGGTTCCATTCAGCACCTTTCCCTTTTATAGTGGCTTATCTACAACTGAATTTAATCTTCTGTAGTCTAGAAACGCTTGTATTCAGTGGTCCAGTGCTGGTGCTTCTAGTCCTAAGCTAAGGCTGTTTTCTTCCCCGCATATCATAAATGGACACCAGTGGCAAGGTTGGGAGAGACATCTGCATGTAGCCAAATTAATAGCATCTGCCTGTGTATGAGGTGGAAGAAGGAACATTTTTAGGGCTGTTCATAAACATTCTGAATTTTTCCACCTACAAACTCCTGTTCACCTTTTATTGTAGTACTAAAAGGAAGTGACAGTGAACAGTGGTGAAGCCATATAAGAATGTTTAAATAGAAGATTCCTCTAGAAGGCTATAAAAGAGAAAAGCAGCCCCTAGAACAGGAATGTGCTAATTAAATTTGATAAGAAACAAATTATCAAAACAACATGAGGAGAAGGGGAAAGAGACGTTGGGAACCTCATGCAGTGCCATTTGGTCTCTGAGGGCTCAGTCGCAAATACGAAACACAAAATCTTGTAAGAGACAAGTGATGAGCTCCTGAGTTGGGAGAAAACTAGGGGAAGAATCTTATCTTTCTCTGTGCTGTTTTTCTCTCCTAGGAGGCAGTAGTTACCTTGGCAGATAAAACAAGAAAAACTCCCTCTAAAGCTTAATTAGAAATTCTGTCTCTTATTCCAGGACAAAAGGAAACAATTTTTTTGAATCACTGAAAAAGCCAAGGAGGAACTTTAATTTTAAGCATTTGCATTAACAGTAGACTTACCTTTTTCTATCACTTTTCTTAACGACTGGAAGTAGGGAATTGGAAGCATCCGGAAGTAGGGAATTGGAAGCATCCTCAGCCACTAATTGGATTGTCCATTACAGCCCAAACCTATCTTCTTTTCTCCCTTTTCATGCTTCAGGCTAGTTAGTTCAGCTGGGAGCTTTCTGAGCAGCTGGAGCAGAATGGGGGTGGTATGAAGCACCTTATCCTACCTCCCCTTTAGACTTCCCAAAGATGGAAGCAAAAGGGGGTGGGGGGTTTTTTTTTTTTTTTTTTTTTTTAAAAAACTATTGGTGAGTTGCAGATCCTGAAAACCTGCTGGTTTGAGTTTGAAAAAGAGACCCATTTGTAATTTTAAAGGCTGTATCGCTCTTCAAGTTTTGGTGACTATAAAGTTTACTTTTTCAGATGTATTTCAGTGTGGTAAAATAGGTGCAGAAGGAGCATGCAGCTGGTGAGAACTTGTTTATGAATTTGAAAGACTGTTCATATTCCCCAGGTGAATTTGAGCCTGATTCCTGTTCCTTATGCATTGCCTTCCTAGCACTTGAATGATGTACTTTACTTGCACAGCCTTATTAAATCTAATTATCCTTAGCTGAAACTTCAGTCCTTCCTGTTTTGAGTGAAATGGCTGTTTAGGGCCTTTCTGTTCAAGAAGCTTTGTTTGTCTTTGATTTTGTGTGCTGAGAAGTTTCATCATCCCCAGAATAACTAATTGCAGCAGTTTTATGAACTGCATGAAGTGTTCAACCTGCTGGGTTTTAATCGAATGCAAAACTACCTGAAGCTCAATTCACTCTTAGAAAAGCATTGCACAGTTTCTTAGGGAATGCTATTTTGTCACACCTTTCAAGTTAGATGTTCTGATTCCAGCTACTGCAGATGTCTGTGCATGGATTCTTCTGTAGTGCCTAGAACTGTCTTAATGTTCTGAAAATTACTCTGCAAGATTCAGCTCAGTGCTGTGTTGTGGTATAGACAGAAATATCTGTCAAGCTAATTTTAATAATGCTTAATGTTGCGTTGCTTTTTCTGTTGCTGTTCGCCTGTGGGGAAAAGGACTCTTGTTTTATTTTCCTTCTCTAGAAGCATAGTGAAACTGTTTTTCTCACAGAGAAAATTAGATTGGAAGGGACTTCTGGCAGTCATCTGATCCGGCTTCACGCTCAAAACAAGTCCAATTAGATTAGACTACTCAGGACCTTGTCCAGTTGAGTTTTGAGCATCTCCAAGAATGGAGATTTCATAGCCCGTTCTAGTGCTTGACCACCCTTAAGATGAAAAAACATTTCCTCATCTCATTGAAATTTCCTATGTTATAACTTGTGCCTGTTGCTTGTTGTCCCGTTACTGTTTCCCTCTGAGAAGAGTCTGGCTCTGTCTTCTCTACACCTGCTGACTGTAGTTGCAGCTGTAAACAGCCGTGAGATCTCCCCTGAGCCTTCTCTTCTCCAGGCTGAACAAACCCAGCTCCCTCAGCCTCTCGTGTATCCTGTGCTTCAGCCCCCTGACGATCTTGGTGGGCCTCCACTGGACTCACTCCAGCATGTATCTTTCTGGTATCGGGGAGCCCAAAACTGGGCATGTACTCCAGATGCAGTCTCACCAGTGCTGAATAGAGGGAAAGAAATACTTCTCTTGACCAACTGGCTATGCTCTTGCTAATACAGCCCAGTATATGGTTGGCTGCCTTTGCCATAAGGTCCTTTTCTGCAGAGTTGCTTCACAGCCAGTCGGCCTCCAGCCTGTACTATGCTATGCAGTTATTCCTTCCAGATGCAGGACTTTGCCTCGGTGATCCTCATGAGGTTTCTGTCAGCCCATTTCTCCAGGCTGAGTAGTGGCCTGCCCTGCAGCCTGTTGACTGTTCTCCCCACCGTCTATGAACTTGCTATGAGTGCGCTCCATCTCATTGTCCACGTCTTTCAGAAAGATGCTAAACAGTATCGGCCCAAGTATCAGTTTCTGAGGAACACCAGTAGTTACTTTGTACGACTCGTCATGAGCCTCTTTGTCTGGCAGTCCAGCTAGTTTTCCACCTAGATTTTCGACACAATATCCGTCCTAAGCTGCTGGATCCTGAGGCTGATAATCTTTAGTATTTACTACTTTTTTTTCAGCTATAAAAGCTATATTCTGTCTGAGGACCTTGTTTTTGATACTTCGTACGCTGACAGGCATCTCTGGAGGTGAACACAGAGTCTCTCTTTCCCCTGAAGAGAAGCTTGGTGTTGGCGGGGGGGTTGGCCGGCAAGGACTGACAAAGGAGCAGGAACGGAGGTGATGCCTTACCTGATGGGTCGATGATACTATTTTTTAAAGGAACAGGTGAGAGAGAGCCTTTGTAAGAGTGAATGGCTCTTCCTTGGAAAGATGAAGAGGAGCAAATCCCATCTGTGCAAAATCAAAAAATGTGCTAGAGATACGTATTTTCTATTAATGTATTTTGTATCTGCAGGTATATATTTATTCTGATTCAAGATGTCTGCCCCAAGGTTGATTTCTAACAGAACCTCCCAGCAGGCCTTGTCTAACTCGGATTACACTTGGGAGTATGAGTACTATGAGTATGGACCGGTGTCATTTGAGGGACTGAAGGCTCATAAATGTAAGTTCAGTAGAGCTCTTATTTTATCTGAGCTTTCCCATCTTAACATTCATTTGTAACTGTGATTATTCTACAGAAATGTCTCTCTCCTAATTTGTCAAATTCCCAACCGTTAGAGCTGTTACTCTTCGAATTGTTTTTAGAGTATTATAATTGTTTGTTATTCTGTGACTTTTGTTAACCGCTTTTCTTACGCGTAAGAGTACATTTGAGCACCCTGAGTTTCTTTGCTTGTAGTAGAGATTTATCCATACTGAAGAATGTCAGACTATTAGGAGCTGTTTATGACAGCAAGTGCAGGCACTGCTGCTTCTGGTGACTACTTTGTATAATCCATGCTGCTCTGTCAAGTTCTCATAAATGCTAAAAGAGCAGTGGCAAGCAGCCTTACTGCTTTTGTTTTTTCTTGATAGGAAATGTATTAAAAGCTTTAAAAAGATTGAAAACCCAAGTAGAAATTTCTCTTTCAGGAGAAACTTTTGTCATTTAGTCTTGCTTCAGAGAAGGAGTTTGCTAAATTCAACATCCTGGTGATACTGGAGCTGTTAAACTACAATACAAGTGAAAAATGGAGGAGAAGGACCAGAGATGAAAAATATGGTTAGGAATTGAGAAGAAATCTAGGACAAATTAGTACAACTGTAGCAATGTTAATTTAAAAGTGTAAACTATGCCCTTGATTTTTAGGAAATTTATTTCCTAAATTTATTATTTTGAGGGTGAAAAAACAGTAATAGAGATTACACAAAATTACTGGCTATTATTTGCAAGCACTTTGCCAAAGATACTGCCAAAAAAAACCACCTTACTTCTCTGTTTCTGGGCTGAAGACACTGAGAAAGGTGCAAGCACAATTCTAGGGGGTCCTATCCAGTGCTGGAGCCCTGGTCTAGGGTGGGATATGTACTTTCTGCCTTATTTGTGGCAAGGATTCAGACTGAGGAAAGGAGCACTCCCAGTGGCAATCAGTAGCCCAGAAAGACTGATTTCTCTTGGCCCTGTACAGTGTAGAGGTTTTGAGGAGGCTGTGGAGAAACTTAGAAGAAACTTGTAATTCTTAACTTTTTTAAAAGGCAAGAACTAGAGCAGAAGTTATTTTTTTGCTCTGAATTATACCTTACTGCTCTTTTACAGAAGTCTGCTGATTGCTCTCTGTATTTTTAAAAGTGTTAGGTACTTGAAAAAAGTGGGTTAGATGTTATCATGTTCCTAATCTGTATTCCATTCTTCCACTTAATCAGAGACCAATCCTGATTTCAGAGGTTACTGATTACAAAGATTAGCTGCACTGCTATGTACACTACTTCTTTTGAGCTCAGCGTGTCAAAGTGTGATGGGAGGAAGAAAATATAAATCATAATTACCTCTGGATTGCAGAAAGTCTAGTAGCAAAGCAAATTTTGGATTGCCCTCAAGGTGACTGCTGTGCTGGGCATGGCAGCTCAGTTTCACTGTCTGAGTGTGGTGTTCCTAGAGCAGGAAGGGTCTGGACAGCCTTTATCAGAGAATGGGACAGAAGAAAAAACTGTTTTCAGGTAGAACTTGATATATTTATGAAAGAGAGAGGTAAACAGTGGTATTGAATCAGTGACCTAGGAAACCCCTTCTAGCTTTTTTTTTTCTCAGTTCAATTTATTTTTGCAAATTTTTTCAATTGCCAAACCTACAAAATTACTTTATCATGATTAGAGATGCTTTAGGATTCTGTGCTAATTAAAGGCACATGGCAATGTCCAGACACGTGTTAGTCTTGGTTCACATGATGTGAGAAGAATTTTTGTTTGTTTTGTCTTTAACTGATAGATGGAGTTGGCTTTGTTCGCTTTGGTATTACTGTGTCTGTGCTCACGGAGTAGCGTTTAATCTAGTAAAGCTATAGTGTAGGTCTGTACTGTGTACGTGGTAATATTTCCATGTTTCTTGCTCCAGGTATTTCAGCTGAGTTGAGAGTGTCAATGGTTGTAGAAGGAATATGGTCAGACAGTTAACTTCACTGAAGTTCTACCCTGGGAGAGGAAGGGAGATTACACTGGGATTGCTTTGTAATGGAGACTTTCTGAATCTTGACAGGTCCCAGTTTTTTGACTTGTTGGCTTTTTTTTTTTTTTTTAAAGCTGTATAAGAAATCTTTAATCTCATGGTCTTTGGCACAGCTGTAGGGAGGCTAATTTTCAGCTTTTGTTAGCAAAGATAATTTTTTTTTTAGAGAAAACGTTGCAAGTTGTGAGGCTGGGGCTTTGTAGACTTATTCCCGCTTTGAAATGCTCTGTCCCCCTCAGCTGTGCTATTCTGATTGTTTTGTAGTAATGGCATAACTCAAATTAGTGATATGAGCTGAGGTAAAAGCAATGAGAAAGGGTCTGTTTCAGTGATCTGGTTTATAGCATAAAATTAAAAAGGTGCCATTAGCTTAACTGTGCATTGTACAGTGAACTGTAATGACATAACATGAGGAAGCACTGTTTGGAACCATGAGATAAGATGAATTCTGCAAGACAAAGCTGGAGGCCATTTTGGGATGAATGCTAGTGAACTGTAGGCAAATGGAGATTCCTAGTAGTTTTACATATATACAAAGGAATTCAGAAGCCTGTGTCGTAAAAGCTGGCAAAAAATTATGTAAAGTGATCTCTGAAGAAAAATTTTGACCAAACTATCCAATACACAAAAATACACTTAAAAGGCAGAGGGAATCACAGAATCGTTTAGGTTGGAAGGGACCTCTGGAGATCATCTAGGCCAACCTCCCTGCTCAAGCAGGGCCCTCTAGAGCATATTGCCCAGGATCACATCCAGACGGGTTTTGAAAATCTCCAGCGAAGGAGACTCCACCACCTCTCTGGGCAACCTGTTCCAATGCTCTGTCACCCTCACAGTGAAGAAGATTTTCCTCAGGTTCAGATGGAACTGCCTGTGGTTCAGTTTCTGCCCGTTGCCTCTTGTCCTGTTGCTGGGCACCACGGAGAAGAGA